CCCCAAAATTCTTTTAGGGTCAAAAAGGTGAACCTGGATTTCAGGTAAGTACTAAGTTCTTGTTTATCAGTATTATTTTGTGTGAAAGACCATATAGTACATTGGATTTAAGTTACACATTTATTTCACCTTAAGTGTAATATTTACTTAATTTAGTATTTTGCTTAAATATATGAATGCATCTGACTCTTTCTCTTTTTGTTTTTTCAAGGGACCGCCAGGGTTTGGAGAGAAAGGTGAACCAGGAAAACCAGGACCCCGAGTAAGTGCTTTTAAGCATCCTTTATTCCTTATTGTAAAATCATTTTCTTTTAGCCCTAGAGTCACAGGTTCAGGGACATGAAAGAATGGAAGAGAGTGGGAGGGCTTTTCTGGTTTCTCCCTTTCCTCTCCTGAAGGGCTTTTCTGAAGCCCTTGGGAGTAGAAATGAGGAGAACTGTCATTACTTGAAAAAATTCCCAGAAGGTCAGGCCCTTCGTTATTCATGCCCCCCCCTCAGAAAGCCTGACGTTGGGTGGGGGGCTCTCTGAAGAGCTGCCCCCCTGCTGGCTTCTCACTGAACGCCACCTGTCACTTGCTCAGAGTCCTTGGTGCCCTTTGCCGCTGCCTTCCCAGGCCAGCTCAGACCTCTGCCTGGGCCTCAGATGCACATCCCGGAGCGGGGCTGCTCAGATGCTTCCCACCCCCTTAGTCCTGGTGAGAGGAGACTCCGCTTCCAGCAGCCTGAGCATTTTCAGTGTCTCCCCTGAAATAACGCAGGGAAACCTCCACTAAAATCAACCATCTGCATATCAGCTACCCAGTACTCACTTGGCAACAGGGAACCTCTCTGGTGTTAGCCAGGCTGCCAAATGTAATGGTACCTTAGGAGATTTGGAACTAATCAGGCTCCCTTTTTTTAAACATTGAAAAGCCCTCTTCTCTTGTAACTTTTTCGTAGTCAGTGTACACTGTCTTCCTCCCTAGTACAGAGCCATCAGCTTACACGGAGGTTTCCTATGCAGGATGGCATAGGAACTTGTATTTGAATCAGAACCTTGTTGTTACAGCATATTTACTATGATTATTTATGAAATACTGATGTTTAAATCTTCGTTGTTCAGGGAAAACCTGGAAAAGATGGTGAAAAAGGAGAGAAAGGGAGTCTAGTAAGTATTTCTCTGTGACTTTTGAAAGCAAGCTGTTGGCCTCCACTAGCTTACTGTTGTTGTTGCTTCTTCTTTCACTTAGGGCTTTCCTGGCGACTCGGGGTTCCCAGGACTCCCAGGACGAGAGGGTTTTAAGGTAAGTGGTGGCGCCACTTGGAGTTTTTACCTTCATTTTGTAGGTCAACTCAGAAAGTTTTACTAGAATAAAGGACTATGGACTCACAAAGAATGACAATTATTTATGTTCATTTATTTTCATTTTATTGTAAATCACCGTGTACTAATTCAGCTTACAAATGAGTCTATTAAAGTTCTCTGAGAGAGCATGCAGTCAACAGAACAGAATTTACGAGCTTGTTTGTAATGTGACAAATTAGCTTTCCATCTATGTTTTGTCGAAATCTTTATCGTCATATGTCACATGCAAAGCAAAACGAAATGGATTTGCTTTTGTTACAGTTGTTACAGAGCACTTTAGGCTCATCATAATGGGAGATAACCAAGGAGAGGAAAAGAGTATTAGTGTAGGTGGGCACAATCTATTTTTCCAGAAAAAGTAAAGCTTTAACTGTTTTCTGCAAGACACTCTTTATAGTTAAAAAAATACAATATAGTCAAAAATTGCTAAAGCTGTTTTTTTTCTTTTGTAGGGAGAAAAAGGTGAAACAGGTCTTCCAGGCCCACCCGGAATTGTGAGTAAGAGGAATGTTTGCTGGTCCGTGAGGGTTCGAAAGGAGGAAAGGAGAGATGGGGCCGAACAGTGGCCTATGCCACAGGCTCCACAGCATTCCCAGAATGACATTTTTATGTAAAGGGGCTGTGTATAAACCAAAATAATGGTTTTCTATTTTGTATGGAGTGGAGTTTGGGTCTCACTTTTTATTAAATTTTGATAATTTCTGCGTATCCTTGACCACTGAAAAGGAAAAGATTTACATGTGGGTAGGACTAGTAGCCCCACACTCTGAAACTCTTTTTTTTTAAATGGCCCCTCAAGGAAAATGTTACTAAAAGGACGGGCCATCCGCAATTTCACTGCTCTAAGCAAAACGATTTGCGTTTTTGCAAGTAACATTTTACTCCTTGCGCATATGCATAGTTATACACACTTGCAATCCATGTATGTAACTTTTTTTAAAAAAGGACATTCTTTGTGTTTTTAATTTATCTTCCAGTAATCAGTTTCAGTCTTTTGTCAGTGTTGTGCTCTAACTGTTTTAACGATTTTTCCCCGAAAGCTTTTTGAAACTGAAACGGTTACCGTCGTTCGTTGCCATGCCTGCACTGTGGTGATGAATGCTCGAACGCGTCATTGTGTGTGAGAGAGTGTGTGTGTGTGTGTGTCTGGGGGGGGGTTAGTTTGAGTCATTTATCCTTAAGCTACATTTCCAGGGATAGGATCATTGAATCAACTTATCCAACCTTCTGAATGCTTTTAATATTTCCATATATATTTATGATTCCATTTTCTGTATTTGTGATCCCAGAGCAGCGTTCGAGTAACCTGTTTTTAGCTTAACCTCATCAGCAGATTTCCATAATATCCAGTAGTTTAATTTGCAACAAAGGCATTATATTTTAAGGGTAATAATGTAGTAGTCGACTTGGTCATTTTCTTTGCATGTTAGTAATTTAGAATTGAGTGGACAGGTTCACTCCTTTTTGCCTTCTGTCCCTAGGGCCTTAAGGAAGTCCCCACTTTGGACCATTTAATACAAAAGAAAGCAGAAAACCTCTTCCTGTAAAAAAATTGGAGTTCTGTTACACATTGCTTGCGGAAATGTAAGGGTGTCTTCTAATAGCACTCTTTAAAGTAGAATATTCATGTTATGGCTTGTATGGGCATTTAGAAATTCCAGATAAAAACCTCAGGATTAATATTTTTCTAACTTTACCTCGTTGGCAAAGGTCCTTCCAGGCAAATTATTACAAAGGAAGCAGAGCTGCCAGGTGGAGTTTTCCGCAAGGAAGGCATTATGTAATATTCATTTCATTGGTTTTGATTCCCCCTCCACCACCACTAATTCTTTTCTTTCACATTTCATGAAATAACAGAAAAAGCGTTAGTTTCTTCGTCTGTGCTGCTGTTCTGCACAGCACCAGTCACTCTCACGCCCGTGATGACCTCGTGTTCTGTAATTCAGGTTATCGGCCCAGGACCCTTGGGAGAAAAAGGCGAGCGGGGGTACCCAGGGCCTCCGGGGTTGAGAGGAGAGCCAGGCCCCAAAGGTCAGTTCCTTTCCTTTATCTCTAGCCCTCCCTCTCTTTCCTCCTCTCCTCCCCTTCCCCCCATCTTTCTTTCATCCTTTCTTTCCCTTTCTTCCATTTTTGACCTGCACTCATTTCCATCTTGAAAACATCTGCGTGCTTTGCAGGACCATGCACGTGGTGACCGAGTCTCATTCGGGCTTATGTTTCATTGTCACACTGTCTTTTCTGGGGCCCTTCTCCTGGCATCTGTGTAGCTTCAGGGACACAAGTTCAGTCTTCGTGTTCCCCTTGACAGTGGGTCCTCATGGGCACAGAAGTACAAACCATAAATCACAAGTGGACCAGTTTCACTCTGTCCAACTCTTTTTCTCTTTTTAGGTTACCCAGGACTGCAAGGCCAGCCAGGCCCCCCAGGTGAGCATCTTGAGCTGATTCTTAAAGGCTGTTGTAAACCTTCTCTGCGGGTTATGTTCTGAACATATTTATCATGTACATTAGATATTTCTGTAAAATAGCTAACAGTTCTGTTGTACATTTTTCTAGTTATGAAAATAAGAAGTGTTCATAGGAAAGTGTTTATTTTGTAAGGTACAGGTTAGCATGTAGTTAGAAGCATGTATTTAATGGGTGGGACTTTTTATGATCTTTCCTTAAAGTTAATGTGGGGAAAGCTTTTGACTGTTGGCGTTTATATGGTAAGAAGCCTGCCAATTGAATCTGATTTTACTTGTCTAAGCAGTTCCCCTTTTAGTGATGGTCACTAGTCATTTTACCTCCACAGTTAAGAAAATTAGTTTGTGCCGTTGACATTAAACTTGTACTATGATTATTTAGATGAGCTCTTGTTCTGGTTCAGGCATCTCGTTACCTGGGCAACCCGGTGCTCCTGGCTACCCTGGTGAACGAGGAGAGAAAGGTGACCAAGGCTATCCAGGGACGTCTTTGCCAGGACCAAGTGGAAGAGATGGACTCCAGGGCCCTCCTGGACCCCCTGGACCTCCTGGGCAGCCGGGCCACACAAGTAAGTCCCCTCTGGGGCTGTTTCATGTGGTGCCCCATCGAGGACAGGGTGCCAAGGCAGGGCTGGCCCAGGTCTTTGAGGATGCTCCAGAGTTCACATGCAGCACAGAAGGCTGGGGTGTCCAGTGACTGATGAGTTATTTACATGGCAAAATTAGCCATGCTACAGAAAGGAGTAGTAAAAATAAAATCACAAAACTGGTTTAAAGGAATAAGAAATATGTTAACCAGCTCTGAGTCTCCTGGCATCTAAAGGTGAAAAGTAAACCAGTTGAGTTGTATAGTTCTTACTGAACCAAGAACACATGCTAGCTTATCTAGAGTCACAGGCTGATACTAAGACACATACACGCTCACACGAAGAAGGGTTGTGTGGGTGCGGACTTCACGGTCTACGTGGTAACATTATGGAGGGCTTCACATTTTAAAGGTACTTTGCATGGATTTTTCTTATGACAGCCCTTCATCAAAGCTAAGCCTGGAACATTAAACTCTTTTTTTAAAATCCTCACCTGAGGCTGTTTTTATTGATTTTAGAGAGAGAGAAAGGGGGAGAGAGAAAGAGAAAGAAACGTGGATGTGAGAGAGAAACATCGATTGGTTGCCTTCCATACATGCCCCGACTGGCATAGAACCATGACCTAGGTATGTGCCCTTACTGGGAATCAAACCCGCAACCTTTTGGTATGTGGGACAATGCTCCAACCAACTGAGCCACTGGGGTAGGGCTGTCATAGGGTTGTAATTTTAAATAGTGATCGGCAAAGGACATGAAGTTGGTGAGGGAACCATGGAGAAATCAAGGACTTTTTTTTTAATATTTGCAATTATGCCAATACTGAAATATGAACAAATTTCATATAAAGATATGAATTTTCCACTACTGTTAGTTGAGTAGAATGTGCTGGCTGAACACATTGTAGTATCTACCATCCCAATTTTCCAGGTTTGCCTTTTTGTAAGTTAAATGATTCATCATCATAGAACATTAATAGATAATTTATAACTGAGATTTTCAGATTTGAAGTATATGTTAAAGAGGCCACATCTTAAAACTAATTGCCACCTTGGGACCTGTCAGTCCCTCATTAACCATGCAATGCAAAGATTTCTACTCCCTGATCCTGCCCCATGTTCTCGTCCCATGTGGTGGCAGCCTGTAACCGCAGAGGCCCTCAGGGAGCAGCCAGTGTAAATCTCGAATTCCAACTTGCATTTTAGAGCTTATCAGAAATAAACATTAAATTCTTGCTTTAGACTTAAAATTGTTTTAAATTGTTTTTTCTGAGGGTAGAAAGTTGCTTTTTTACTAGGATGTGAAGGGATCCTGATTGAGGTGAAGCCAGAAGGAGATGTGTTCTGGAAAAGAAAAGTAATGGTTTTATGTCTGTCAATATTCATGAGGCCATGTTTCCAGAGTGAGGGAGATCACATGCCCTCGGCTTGCAGGCCTGGGGATGCCAGTTCTCAACAGTCAAGGAAGTTAGGGACTGCTCTTGGAAGCATATAAAATGGACTCCACTTTGTTCAAGACCAATGGGGTCAGTGAGCCAGGTGGGAAAGGAGCCAATGGAGCCAGTAGCCCTGTGACAGAATTATCGTCCCCTCAGGCCTCCTTATGCCTAAGTTTCTCCCCGAGGTCCCAGGAAAACAGAAGCAAGCAACCAGCAAACGAAGCCAGAACACTTTCTTCCTGGACTTCTATAGAACTTAGACATTTCAAACTACCTTTTTCCTCGGAGCTCTAAGCAAAGTCATAAAATAGGGAGGTTTGGGCCCATTTTTAGGTCCTCGTGATTGGGAGAGCCAAGCAGAAAGCCGGTGACTGCTGGCCTCTCTCCTTGTCCTGTCTCCATCCTGAAGAGAAGACAGTGCGGAGGGGAGAGGGGCCGAGGGGGACAGGAGCTGTAGCTCACGACATTTGGATGACAGCCATGATGGGAACACCCTCGCAGAGCTGTAGGTTAAGCTACTTTGTCATTTTCTTCAGAGAGATTGGAGAGGAAAATATAAATGATCACGGTGCGCCTCGGAACCCGCAGCAGATGGTGTTCGCCTTACTGCAGTTCATTCTCATGCTTTGCACATAAATGACACTCAGCATTGAACAGGGACAGTCGGGCAGTTCCCCACGGACAGCCTGCACCTCTGAAATAATGATGACTTTGCCGTGGATTTCCTTAGCAAGAGTACGAAATGAAGTGGTTCAAGTCTTTGCTTTGATTTCACAGATGTGTGACGATGGAGAAACCGCCTCACTTTTTTGACCCTCCGTTTCTTAACCTGTGAAATAAGGGTGATGGCGTGTACTTTGCAAGATGATGAAATAAAATACAGGACAGGGCTGATGAGATTTGCTTTAGAATCGTGAGATAGAAATTCCAGAAGTGATGGCTTGCAGTGGCGACTAGATGCTGTGTGTGCTGGTCATGTTTGTAAGCAAACTAAAGCTGGATTTCTAATACTGACCAAATGACCTAAAAGTTTGGTTTTATAATAGAGATTGAATTACGGGGGGGG